AGCAGATGTTATTGCATCCATAACTAATAGGAAGAGGTATGGACTGATTACTGAATCCCGATGTAAACCCACTCTTACTTCAAACATGCCCGTCAAACCGGCTGCAGTTCTAACCTGCGTGCTGACCCTAAAGTACATATTTTTGATTGTCACAATGTACTGAAGCAGCACACCTTTTTGCCTAAGACATTACCAAAGGACTTCTCTCAGGACTCTATCATACGCTTTTTCCAAGTTTATGAACACCATATGCAGGTTTCTCTTTATGGCTCGGTATTTTTCCATCACCTGTCTGTACCACGAATATAGCATTCATAGTACTTCTCCCAGGCATAAATCCAAACTGGTCTTCAGTGACACTAGTCTCCTCTCTAATCCTCTGTTCAATTACCTTTTCAAAAAGTTTCACTATGTGAGCCAGTAGTTTTATCCCCCTATAATTATTACATTCCTACATATCCCCTTTTTCCTTAAAGATGGGTACTAAATAGCTTCTTCTCCATTCATTGAGTATAGTTCTCTCTAACAATACTTTGTTAAATAAGGGTGCGACTATGCAGACGCGAGCGAGCGAATTTTCCGAGCGAGCGAGAATATGTGGCGAGAAGAGGCGAGACGTGATAAATATCAAAACCTGTCAGATATGTGCGAGAATCAGAAATTCGCTCTCGCCAGAGTTATTTCTCGCTTCTCGTTTGTGCATGGTTTTCCTTTGCGAAAATTAAATCGCTCGCAACCTCTCGCTCGCTCTAAATTCGCGTCTGCAAAGTCGCACCCTAACTCTGTTAATCAGTCTCTCTCCTCCTATCCCAGGATTTCCCATACCTCTATCGGTATCTGATCTGGACCCACTGATTTCCCATTTTTCATTTTAATCAATGCCGGCTTTACCTCCCATTTCTCTATTATGCCTACTAAGCCAATATTTGGTTCTACATTTTCAGTTTTAGTCTGTCTGTCATTCTCCATGTTCAGAAGGTCTTTAAAGTGTTTTCCATTGGGCCTTAATTTTTTCATTTTTAGTTAGCACTTTGCCATTTGTATCTTTTATACACTTGATATAAGTCATATCTTTACTCTTTCTATCTCTCATTTTCCCAAGTCTATATATGAGTTTTCTACCTTTTTTTCCCGTGAATGAGTGAGAGATCACTCACGGGAAAAGAAGATAGAAAACTCTTGTCTTTTGTCTTGTGCCTAGGCTTTAGCTATGACAACCTAGCTAAGGCCTTCGCCTTCTTTTTCATCTGCACATAGACATCTCTTTTCTCTTCCCTTGCCTTATCATCTCCTTTCTCATCCTGCCATCTTTTAAATGCATCTTTCTTCTCTCTTATAGCTTTCTTCACCTCTTCATTCCACCACTATACCTCCTTCTCTATTTTCCTGACTGGCTTTGTTTCTCCCAGAAGTTCCTTCACAATACTTTGTATTTCCCTGGCCACCTGTGTCCACCATTCGTTTGCCAAGTCAGTGTACTTTACATTACTGCTAATGACACTTATCACTTTTTCTTTAAACTCAATTGCATTTTTCCCTTTTAACAGCCACCATTTAATTTTAGTTATTAGTTTGTCTCTACACTTAATCCTATTAAGATCAATCTTTAATTCCATTACTAACAATCTATGCTGACTAGTCAAGTTTTCTCCTGGTATCAATTTACAGTCCTTAATTCCTTTTAGATTTGTCTGTGTTGTTAACAGGTAGTCTATTTGCGTTTTATGATCCCCGCCCTTATAAGTTATTAAATGTTCTTCACATTTATCAAAATAAGTGTTGACCATTACTAAATCGTAGGTGGTGGCCATTTGCAAAACACATTCTCCTTCAAAATTTCTACCACCAAATCTTTTGCCTCCATGTACTCTTTCATAACCAGCATTATTTTTTCCACATGCCTGTTAAAGTCTGCTCCAATAAATATCTCCTCATCTGTCGGTACCACCATCATTATCATAGCCAAATCTTCTCAGAACTGTTCTTTTACTCCAGCAACTACACCCACTTGCAGCACATATGCACTGAAGGGGTTAATTAACCCCTTCAGTGCATATGTGCTGCAAGTGAAAAGGTTATGAAAGAGTACATGGAGGCAAAAGATTTGGTGGTAGAAATTTCGAAGGAGAATGTGTTTTGCAAATGGCCACTGCCTACGATTTAGTAATGGTCAACACTTATTTTGATAAATGTGAAGAACATTTAATAACTTATAAAAGCGGGGATCATAAAACACAAATCTATCAATTCTCCAATACTCAATTTCACCAGTATCAATCTATCATTTACTCTATTGACTATGACTACATTTTTCTTTAAGTTGTTTTCTACAACTATCCCCACTCCATTCCTCTTTCCATCTTTTCCGCAGTAGAAAAGTTTACATCCTTCACCAATCTCTTTAGCTCTAGCCCCCTTCCACTTCATCTCCTGCAGACACGCTATATCAACTCTTCTTCTTCTCAAGGTATCTGCCAGTTCAGCTCCTCTCCCTGTCATAGTCCCTATATTCCAACTTCCCACTCTTAATGGGACAAGCTTCTTACGTTGTCCCTGTCCCACATGAGATAACAACCCTCATCCATTTCCCACATCTGCCGGATGCTGCAGCTGCGTGTCGCCTATGGGGTATGCCCTAGTATTAATATAACTCAAAGTGGCATCAGACGTTCCATAGAAAAGGATTTGGCTGGGGTTTTTTTACAGTCGGATGCCAACCAGACACCAATCTTCCCATTTTTCTAACCTGGGCTGAGGAACCAGGTTTAGCAGGGATTTGGCAGTGGCCTAGCACCTGAGCTCCTGGAGACTCACTATAGTCCTTAAGCAGCAGTTGGTCATCAGCTATTTTCAGATACCACCCTGTCTCCGGCGGTACCCAGCTCCAAAAGGCCCTCCTCCAGTGTGAACTGGAGTATTTACCTCACAGGGCCCCCTTTGTGCTTGTTTGTTTGTCGATGCTTGACTTAACAGGATCCACTATGTTATAGTGAACAAAGGGTTGGGGTGGATAGGCTAAGAGGACACTCTTGTTATGGCCTTATATTGTGCATCACACCTACTTGAAGCCCTGCAAATTTTAGAATACTGAAATTTTCAAATTATTTTTGCTTTTCATCAGGTTTATTTTAATGAAAACTGATAGTACAATTTTTTCCTTCCTTGTCCTAACTTTCCTATCAACCAGATGATGATGTTGTTGCTTTCAGACTTTAACCCTTAAGATTGTCACTGTGTTTTCTTTTTATAGATTAATCTTTGTATTTAGTAAAGTTTATTTAAACATGTTTAGATAAGTGTTGTTAAATTTTTTTTAACCATAATGAAGTAATCATTTTTCATCAATTTTATGAATGACATAATCATTTGTAGGTATTACTTACCTACAAATGATTACTTCATTCATAAAATTGATGAATAAAATACTGCGGTATCTCAGTATTTGAACAGTTTGATATTTGAATACAAATTCTAGGAAAAAAAAACCTCTCTGTACTCAGCTGAACAAATGCAACTCTCTAGAATAAATTTTCACTTAACATATTTTTATTTTGTCATCCATAAAAAATTAGTATGATAAAAATTTTAAAAAATGAAGATGTTGCTGATATTTCTGATCAGGATTGACAAAAAAGCTTAGAAGATGATGATACTTTGTAAAAAAAGAAATTGCTCTCATTTAACTAAAATTAATATTAATGTATCATACAGTACTTTTAATTGTGATTAATATTAATTATTGGATGCTTTAATAAACATATTTCTCTTAGTAACGAAAAAGAATATTATACTTTTCCTAATTTTTAGAACCTAACCCCATATTTTGCATTAGTCCTTTGTTTCGTATAGCATGTTTTCACATAACAAGGCATTTTTTCAGAACCTAACTACCATTTTATATGAGGGATACCTGTATTTGAAGTATGTGTATTTTAGAAATGTTTTAAATTTTAAATTAATTTTATTTGTATCAATGAACTATGTATATTTTTATGTTAATAAATCTAATTACTACAACAAATAAATAAAGTATGTATTTATTTTGTAATAAATTGTTATAATTACGAAAAATCCATGTTTCAGTTCAAAATAATAATAATAATTTTGATAATGTTTGGGCTGCAATTTGAAAAAATTGTTGACCTATAAATTTCCGGTCACTGTCTGTCTGTCTGTCTGTCTTTCCTTAATTTTGAGAACAATGTTAGATAGATGAAAGTTGAGATCAGATATGGAAAACTTATGAACAGAAGGCACTGATTAACTATGTGAAGACTTCCAGTCTAGACCAAAAGTCATAATTTCATTTAAAAAATTTTTTCCAGAACAGAGTTATATAGATGATCAGCAAGCCACTGTTGTTATCAGGAAAAGTATGATGTACAATACATGAGCAAAACACTACAAATTTGAGAACAAGACCATACAATATATTTTAAATTTAGTAAATTAAAAACATTATAAATTTTTCAAAGCCCAATACATTGATACATATATACACACACTATGCCGGGTAAAGCAATAACATGCTGAGTGCCATAGTGGAGGTGTACTTAGGTCGTGGGTGTAGAAGTCATCCCCAGCTGGCACTGTGAGTAACCGCATATAGTTAAATCTAAAGTTTAAATACATCTGAAAGCGGAAGAATTGCTTAGGTGGCATAGCTGGCAAGTGCACTGCACAGTAAGCAGAGGTTGTGGGTTCAAGTCCCGTTCCAGGCTAGTTCTTTTCTTCCAGGCAGTTTAATAAATTATTAAAAATTATAATTATTAATTTAGATAAGAGATGGCATGTAACATCTACCTCTAATACCAAATTACTTAATATCTAATCATTAATTATAGTACATTTATAGCCCAATTAATTACAGCAATCGTTTGGTTAAATTAAAAATACGATTAAAAATTACACCCTGGCATTGTGATAGCCACAATAATTTTTACTTGTTAGATTTTAAAAAATGGATTAAATTTTTATTTAAATACTATTTTCGAATATAGATCCAAATGAAGACAAATGCTTTGGTAACTGGTTCAGCCGCTTTCTTTTGAATGAATTTGTTGGTTATGATGATATTTTAATGTCAAGTTTGAAAAATCTTGCAGAGAAAGAGGAAAGTAATGGTAAGTAAGCAGATTTATTTCACTTTTTAAAACATTATATTAATTGATTTGTATTGCCTAAATTTATAAGGTTATGTAAGAAATGTTGTTACTGGTGAGCATTATCAGTTTGTCAATATGTGGATGACCCATTCATCATATTTAACAGCTGCTTTTTTCATGTTGGTATTTGTAAGTATTGACACCTTTTTACAGTTTTAAATATTTATATTAAGAAATCAATTTTGAGAACAGTTTATAAATTATATATACAAATGTAAACCAGACTAAGATTTTTCAGGATATAATAGTAGCTTAAAATGTCAGTTCATTTATAGTTGTAATAAAATTTGGATTTGATTTAAATTGTAGCCACATTTACATATTCAGTAGAAAGAATTAAATATTTTCTTAAAATTAATTTCAGGAAAATATTTAATTTTAAATTTAAAAACTATGAAAATATATAGCTTTTAAACTATTTAAACCATTAGTTTTTTCTCTTAACAAATTATGTCATTTATTCTATACTATTATTGCCATATCAAGACTCAGTCTCTTTGACTTTGCCATATATATGTCATACATTGACTGGATTTTGTTTTATAAGAATCTTTTTTTCTTTATAACTGTATATTAATAAGAATTATTAGGAATAGGTTTTGCATTTTTATTTCTAACTCTTGTCTCAGTTCTTTCAGGCATTTAATTTTTTTCTGTGCAATTAATGCCATGTCTCTGGTAGAGAATTACTTTCATTTAGATTTTATTAAATACAAAAGATTATGTAAAAAAACATGATACACTAATTTTTAAGTATCTAGATTTGATATAATTTTATTTATTGCTTTACTTGTGGTCTTTATATGCATTTGTAGTTTAATTTGTAATATGTAGTTTTTATTCATTGAGTTATTTTATATATAAAGTTATCTCCTGCACTGTATCTTTACACGGGAGTAGTGGGTGCGAGCATTCTTTATAAGAAACTTAAATGCTGCTGTTTTGTTCTAGGGTCATTAGAGTTTGATGGAATACCAACGTTTTTTCATTCCATCAAACTTTAAAAATTATATAATTAAGTTTTGTATTTAAACAGATCATCAAATTTTTAAAAATGTTAAATTTAAAAATAAAATATCTCTAGAGTATTAATGAGTAATATTACACACTTTATATTTGATTTTGGCCTTTTGCTATTGAAGTATAGTTCGGGTATTTTAAATATTTTAAAAAAATGTAGCCAATATACCAAAATATCCATGAAAATTGCAAATAAAATATTAAGGTTTCAAGTTTATTGAACTTTATAATGCATAATTAGTTTTTACTAATAAATATAACAATTTACTTTCTAATCAATATAATACTTAACTGCCTATATTATTACAATCACATATAATAATTAAAAAACAATTCATTTTTATTTTTAATGTATGATTAATGATGTAAAATGAAAGTTAATCATTAGGGGAGACCATTCCATGTCTGGACATTTTTCATTTGCAATTACAATATTTATGAGGAAGAAATCTGATTATACACTGCCACAACACAGTTCATTGCCCAACTTTTGAAGCTACTATTTTGTTAGTATTAAAAGTGGGTTTTCCAGAAAACTTTTCAAAAACAGTAAATTATCCATTTGTTGATCAGAGTGATACACAACTGGACTGTGTTGTTCCACATTTGGACATAAAAATTTCAAGCCAAAGAAAGTTTAAAACTATTATTTTCTTATTGTATTTAAGTGATTACAAAATGATTTGAGAACCAAAGAGTGACACTCATTTGACAATCTAAAAATTTTGGATACATAATATTCACAATAGTATAAGCTACACATGTTAATATCGAATATTTTAATATTAGTTAACATTAGCATACTCATCAAAAGAGTCATTAAATAAAAAGGTTGTTGATACTATAGAGCAGTGGGCCCCAACCCCCAGGCCGCGGACCAGTACCGGTCCATGGATCAAATGGTACCGGGCCGCCCAAGGAACATTAAATTATTTCTATTTTATTTACTATGGTATTTCCTCGGATTTGTGCGACTTTTAATGGATGACGGAACAACGGAATAAACTGGATATAAGAAACACGCTTCGGGTGTCATTGTCTCCTATTACCCCCAGATGGAACCGTCTCGTTGCAAAGAAACAAGCTCAGGGTTCTAATTGATTTAGCGTTCTAGTGAGTTAAAATTTTAAATCACATTATATTCATTTTTTAGTGTAACTGTATATTACTTTGAAGGCATTTTTAAATACAATTAAATTAAAATTATTAAATTAAATTAATCTAAAATATAAACAATCAACGTCCCCCCTCAGTGGGCCGCAGTAAAATTATCAAACGTTGGCTGGTCCACAGCTATCAAAAGAGTTGGGACCGCTGCTATAGAGGATGGAAGAACCTACAGATATTATTGATGGTAATTTGGAAAATATATAATTTATGTTAACTACTAATATTTTTTTTATCTGTTATTGTAAATACTTGTGAACAAATTTTCCTTGTGAAGTATGACAAGTTTATCATCAGACAAGACTCATTTTGTATTTCTACTCAGGCAATATTTTGGCAGTGGGTGTTTGAAGATCACTACCACTTAGAAAACTAATTAGTGATGTAAATATAGCTTCTAATAATAATTAATTTTTAAACGGTCCAAGCTGATGAAAATCTGTTGCAAAATAAACAAAATCTGTTTTTCCAGTTGGCATATTTCTATTATTGAACATGTCCACTAGGGTTTCTCATTTCCCGGGCTTTTGCTTGTCCCGGGATTCCGGGATAAAAGTGAACTGTTTCCCGGGATCCCAGGAAATCCCGGGATAGAATCAATTATTTTTAAGGTATACTTGAAATTAAATGATATAATTATTTTTCATTTTTTAAAGTAATTTTAAAGTTCTGTATCATCCAAAATCATATTAATAATGCTGTGTAAGATATATAATAAAAATTACCTTTGAATTACGTAGAAATTTTCACAAATAGAAAAAAATTTAGTAAAGTTAGCTAGAAACTGCATACTACAACAACAACAAAAATGCTTTGAATTGAGTAAAAATTAAAAATTGAACTTAGATCAAACTTATAGTTTAGAAGGTAATTTTCGTTTTTTAAATAAAATATAATACAAAATATTGTAAACTTTTATAAGATTTTAAAAAGCAAAGATGATCGATACTCGGATCACTCACTCTAATTCTTATTTTAGTAATGAAAAGTCTTGCCACCGAGAATGCCCTTTCCGATTCAATTGATGTGATTGGAATAGTGTTTAATGCATTTAAGAGAAGACAGATATTATGTGTTTTTTCACCTGTAGCCTGGAAGATTTCGAGTTCGTTTTCGAGATTGTAGTACTTCTTTCGCTCTCTAGTATTCTTGATTTGTCTACCTTGGCTGCTTTAATAGCGGCATCAAGCTTAGAGCTCGATAATTCGGCAATTCATTTGGCTTTAATAATCAGGTTTATGAAGAAAAACTTCATACTTGCAGACTTTGTACTCGTTTGTATCCTTGCCCAATTTGCACAATCTGGCGTCAGGCATTTATTGAAGCTACTGGGCATGGTTAAAACTCAAGACAGCGTAAGCACAATTATTCCAGATATTACAGGTTCCGACAAGTAAAGAATTTTTATAGTCCTGCCACAAATAAGCTATATATTGATTATTGACCATTTGTGACATGCTATAACGAGCAAAAATTTAAAAAAACTAATAGGTAGGTTTAAAATTAATAAATACAAATGTATTCTGACAGTGAATGAGATAATTATGCTTTGTATTTGCAAAATTTCTTAACCTTAACACAAAATAAGAAAAAAAGTGAATTTTTAAGAAATTTGCGGGATTTCCCGGGATAAGAAAAATTTCCCGGGATATTTCCCTGGTTAAAAAAACAACCGGAATCCCGTTTGAGAAACACTAATGTCCACTAATGGAATGAAATATAGTTTGGATATGGCAATGGTGCATTTTTGTTATGTGAATGATAGTGACAAAATGTAAGATTTGATAACAGAACAAGGAATTGCATGCACCCCAATAGTCATGTTTGTTCACATCTTGGTCTTAACAAGACTTTTGCAAAACATACTGAATGAGAATTTTACAAGGGTCCCTGAGAAAAGTTGGACCAATTGTTTATCATTTCCTGTGTCTATATGGTTGCTGCTATCTTGCTGAAATTCATATTGCAAATTTAGTAGAAGGATGCCATTTAGCAATAAACTCGGGAAATCTCTTGATGAGATATGCATTACAAAATTTAAGTTATCTGTTGACTTTTCCATGTATGGACTGTTCTATCTCTGCTATAATTATTTTGCAAAATTCTTTTTATGAATTATAATTTATGATGATAAATTTTTTATTTTGTTTTTCAAATTATTTTATGATTTTTTAATTAAATAATTTTTAATTTGTTTTTTATTTAATTTTATTAAATTTTTTTAAAAATTGTTTAAAAATATATTTATTTATTTCCAATGAGATATATTGAAAACAATATTTGAAGATAGACTACATTAAGGGTATTTGATTATAGTACTTAAAATATCTTGTAAAATATACAATATTGTATTCAGAATATTTGTTTACATGTTATAATAGTTGTAAAATGCTTTGAAATTTATTAACAATTAATTAAAAAAACATTTAAAATAATAACTTTCAAAACATTAATTATAATGTACAGTATTTGAATTGAATTCTAAGTTGTACTTGGGTGCAAAATAATATTCATTTAATTAAATTTAACTGAAATGATCATTTATTCTGTATGAAATTTAATAAATGGTATTCTTAATTTAAAGTAAATAATCAGAATGTAAACCTTATAAATAAGCTATGTAACAACTGTATAAATTATATTTCTATCCAAAAGAGAAAGGAGAAAGTACTGACAAAAGCAATGTATACAATGGAATTCATTTATTATAATCACTTCAGGACTGTATTGTGTATTGTGGTAACATTCAGCATAGTAAGTAAATAAGACTGTATTTAGTGGAAATTCTAGTTTTATTGATTCTAACAATAAAAAGGAATGCTAAAACAATTTAAAAAAAAAAAATGTATAACTTGAAGATTTATTAGTTATTAATTAGTAGTAATTCATCCAGTATATAACTGAAATAAGAAATGCCAGTAATTTAAATTACTATAGTGTAA